GTCAGGGCACATGCCCGGGTTGTGGGCTACAGCCGATCAGTGACTCATCATTGATGTTTCTACCTCTCTCCCTCTCCCTTCCTCTCTCTGAAATCAATAAAGATATATTAAAAAAAAAAAAAAAAGATATACTCTGGCACTGATTGGAATGTGTAGCAAATCTGGTAAAAGGTTCATGAATACTAAAGATTTCTTCTGAGTTAAAAAGGGGAAAGTGTTAACTTACCTACATATGTAACCCTTTTCATTAAATCATTATTAAAAGGCTATTGGTATTGCACAGGCAAGCAAGATAGCAATCTCAAGACAGGTGAATAAAGAAAAATTAAATTTATTAAAAGGGGTTGGGGATATCCAAAGGGAAGGGCTACACAGCACTGAGCCAAAGGGTATTGGGTCCATGATGGCAGCAAAAATATACTTGGGACAGTGAAACAAGGAATAGCATAGAAGAAGCAACGGGAGAGCCCAGGCAGGGCTGCTTTGGCTCACTGAGAAGTCAGAGAGAAGGGGGCCTTGGAGACAGGTTCAGGAGATAAGCCTGGGATGAGCTGCTGCTGTCCATTGCTCCCCTGGTTGCAAGTCCTATTGGGTCCCCTCAGACGGGTAGAGATGGCGCTAGCATATGCTCCCCTGGTGGGGAGCTCACCCTGGGTCTTTTGTTTGTCTTGCAGATGGGAATCTTAGGAGAGGTCTCAAGGGAAGGTCTCAATAGAATATTCATCAACTTTCCAGATGTGCTCTTTCAGGGTCTTGGTCTCCACTGATTGGTTGGTGCCAGGGCAGGAGGTCATTAGTCAATGTGTCTGGTCCTTACTCAGCTGCCTGCATCACTTGCCTGGTTTTGCTGCTTATCTGGGCCTGGAGCTGAAATACAACTGAGGCTTAGATGTTATCTTTAGGGAGAAATGCTTAGGAGGTCTAAACTGCATGACCAGCAATATGCTAGGTGAGGATAGATTACCCTGGGGACAAGGTTCTTGTTTTCCCAGTTTTGCCCCTTGCTAGGCACCTGGGGCTTCCTGCCCTGGTGAATTCTGTACCCTAATTTCTGTACCTGCCCATCTAACAATTATCAATAAATAAGCTCTAGGAATGTCATCCTTCCAAAAAGTGGGCCTGAACAACATGATACAGGATCATAACAAATAACTTATTGACAAATACTTGTCTCTGCACAGTCCATAACACACATACCATTGAAACAAGAAGCAATTATAGACCATATGAAGAAAACATGTATAAAAAGAGGCTATTGAGTATAGTCATTATATCACCCATGAGGAAGTCACAGAGAAACAAAATACAAAAGCTTTCTGTGTCTAGAAATGAGTCCAGGGTCCTTAATATTGAATGATTACAGTCTGAATGATATGTTGAATGTGTAATTTGTTTTGAAGTGACATTTCAAATGTCAAGGGCTACACACAAATGTATCCAAGACCACAATGCTTCTCTTATCCCAGGATGAGATGCCCTATTAACTCTGCTTAAGAACTTGGATTATTTCCTAATTTTCCAATATCTTCATTCATTTGGCTGCTCTGGATCACACAAAGCCTTTCTGATTTTAATTAAAATATTTCAATTGTAAAGAATTTCTTTCCTTGGAAGAGTACTAGGACATTTTGTCATGCAAAAGTTTTCCAGAGTGAGAGTAAAAAACATTTTCACAAGATTTCTTTTCTTTTCGCTTTTTATTATACATAAGAAAACACTGGAGAGAGAACTTNGTAAAAAACATTTTCACAAGATTTCTTTTCTTTTCGCTTTTTATTATACATAAGAAAACACTGGAGAGAGAAGAACTGAACATGTAACGTACTGAGGACCCTTTAGGTGACCGATCTGAATGAAGACTAGTCAGAGTCTAATTCCAATGTTGGTATTAGTGGGAGAGCATTTAGATACTTCATATTCTCACATTATAAGAAGGCATTAGATCATATTGGCTGAAAGCATAATTTTGCAGTAAGATAAATATAGATTTCAGTCCATTTTAGTCACTTAATGGATGTATGATATTTGCCAATTCTGTTAATTTTTCTCAGCTTCAGCTTCTTTATCTGTAATATGTAAATAACTATAATATCTGTCTCATAGGTTGTTGTAAGATTCAAATGAAATGAATTCATGTTAAGTGCTTGGGACTTCTTAGAATATACTAAGCGACTGAAAAATGTTAATGGCAAATTACAGGGAACATAAAAAGGCACAGCAGTTCATATGAAGAATTCTTCATCAACATAAAATTTTTGCTTCTGACTATATCCCCTTTTAGGGTAATTTATAATAATAATGTTAATAATAATGCTTATTGAGCATCAGCTATGTACTAAACACAAGTGCCTTCATGAGTCCTCAAATTTAACCCTCACTGAGGAGTTACAGTTTCAAAGTTTGATCTATATTTATTGGTATTTGATTTCTCAATACAGAGGAAGAAAACCCAGGGTTTACCACTTCTTGTTTCAGTGCTGAAAAAATATTATACCATCAATTACACAATTTTCAAATGAAACTTTTCTGTAAATTGTCAGTTACTGGCAAAAGCACAGGAAGAGAATCAGTTACATACAACTGCAGGATTATAAATATTTTCAAATTATTTGCCCATTTAAATTGACCTTTTCATAACCCATCTATCCAGTTAAATAAAACATTATTGTCAATCTGTTATATGCTAGGCATTATACTAAGCACTGAAGATTTTAAAAAACTTTAATAAATACAAATACAATATCTATCTTTATGAAGCTAATGATCTAGTGGGGAGATAAACTATAAAATTATAACACAAAATTGTAACTCTAAGACCACCAGACATTACGTGTTTCCCAATGTTATGAAATAGGAAACATAAAACACCACATATAATAAATTACTTTAAAAAATCTGAGCTAAGTCTAATAAGCCTCTAGATCGTTCTTTTTCCAGAGACAGTAGGAAAGAGAAGAACACATTAAATTACACTAAGTGGACACAATCTGTCAAAGAATGTGGAAAATTCTATAGTATAAGTGAACCAGTATCTTGAACAAATAAATCACATAGAAAAATAAATAAATTAAAATCACAATATAATCAATAGACCCATCAACTAAGTACAATTTGTAGATCTTATTTGTATTTTTATTGGAACAAATCAACTACAATAGAATGGTTCTGAGCAATGAAAGAAGATTGAACATGGTCTGGGTATTGGATAATATTAAGGAATTACTAATGGTGTTATGATTATGTTTCTTAAAAAGCTTACTGTCAGGCAGGGAAAGACAGATGCTACATGATTTCACTTATATGTGAAATCTAAAGAACAGAACAAATAAAACAGAAACAAATGCATGGAGCAAGCTGATGGTTGCTAGATGGGAGGGGGGGTTGGAGGGCTGGGTGAAAAGGTGAAGGGATTAAGAAGTGCAGATTGGCAGTTACAAAATAGTCATGAGGATGTAAAGTACAGCATAGGGAATATAGTCAATTATATCATAATAACTGTCGTGCCAGGTTGGTACTAGATTTTCCGGGGTGATCACTTTGTAAATTATATAAATGTCTAACCACTATGCTGTACACCTGAAACTAATATAAAATAATATTGAATGTCAACTATAATTGAAAAGTAAGAAAAAAAGCTTATTCTGTGTAATTATATGATGTTTAAAAATTGATTTAAAATCTTTCAGAAAAAAACTTGGATGAATAATACATTAGAAATGAAGAGTATAATAATGTTGAAGCTGAATATTAGGTTTCTGGTGGTTGATGGTATTACTCTCTACTGAGAAAAAAACAAAACTAGCAAATGCTATAAAAGAGAGAAATACGCTGCTTTGAGAGACTATGATAAAGCATTTCTCCAAGTCAGGAAAGGTTTTTATGAGGAACTGTCACTTGAGCTGAGATCAGAGGAATGAGCATACTACATGGG